AACCTGAGAGTACCTGTTTCTCTGCACCCTTTCTTCCATTTGTAAATCTGTTAATCCAATAAGTGAAAATTATTCCATTTTGGTATTTTATTTTGCATTTCTTTGTTTTCAAGCAATATTTAACATTGCTATGATTATATTTTTATAATTTGTGTTCTATGTAAATAATGCTTCTGAACTATTTAGTTGGATAGAATTATATTTCTTTCTCTGTGGGTTCAGTAGTATTTCTCATGCTTCTCAGTAGAGAATATTCTTAAGATTACCCTTTATGTCCCATCATTTTGTGACTCTTTAGACTCTTGTTTTAAGTGACATGAAAACAACCCAAACTTAGAATCAGTTACTCAAAAAAAAAATAGATCTGATTGAGGATCTAAGGTGGCAGTGGAGCAGGTGGAAGTTAGCCTCACCTCCTCTCAGGAACAAACTTGAATTACAACTAAATTATAGAAAAATCAACATGAATAACCAACTGAAGACTAGCTGAACAGAAGTCTGAAAACCAAGAATTTACAAAGAAGCCACATCAAAACTGGTAGGAAGCGTGGAGATACTAAAAGGCCTGGCCCCCCCACACACACACACCTGAGGTAACTGAGTATTCAAAGGGGATTCTCAGGTGCAAAGATTTCCCCTGAGGAGTGTGGGGTCCCAGCCCCGTGCCTGGCTTCCAAGCCCAGAACATCAGAGCAAGGAAGAGGAGTCCACATGTCATCAGGCTGTAAAAATGCTTGGGGATTCTGTTCACAGGGAGAGAGAGGAGTCTGCTAGAAACACAGGCACCCTCTTAAAGGGCCACTTCACAAAATCTTGTTTATAGTCACTCACTCTGGGCTCTGGCAGAGGGAGGGCAGAACAGACTAGACTTGGGTGAGGAGAGACTGAGGTGTGGCTCCAGGAAGAGCTGAAGAGACAGTGGCCAGGTTCCCTGTGATGAGTCCCTCTCCCATACCACATACAGATGCCATCATTCTTGGGTCAAGCACTCCCCACCATACGACATTAGCCTGGAGGAATGCAATAGCCCCACCCTCAGGGAGCTCATGCCCTGCAAGAGAAGTCAGCTGCTTGGGCCCAGGGTGTAGAGGTCCAGAGATACTCAAGGGGTGACAGACACAATCTACTGTGACTCTGGGAGGGGGCCTTTCCTTGCATGACTGACAGATGCAAACCCCTCCATTTGCACAGCCAAAGCTTTGTCTGTTTGGTCTGATAAAGTCTACTGGCCTCCCCTTGATGACTCCAGGAGAAAGGGTTCCCTTACTTATCTTATATCCTATCTAATAAAGAGGGAATATGCTAATTGACCCTCGCACAGTCGCAAAGATGGCGGTATCCACAGCCAATAAGGAGGGAATATGCTAATTGACTGCCATGCCCTCAAAGATGGCAGTGCCCACAGCCACAAGATGGCAGCACCCAGTCCCCTTAGCCCTGCTGGGGCGGCAGGCATGCAGCAAGGCTGGGCCAGCCCCCAGGAAGGCCCAGCCTTGTGGCGTGCCTGCCTCTGGAGACCCCCCAGTCCCCTCAGTCCCCTAGCTGCCCAGGGCTGATCTGAGGAGCAGGCAAGCCTCAGATGGTGGCTGCTCAGCCACTCAGGGATGACCAAACGACCTGCACAAGCAGGTTGTGTGGGGTGACCAGGCCGGTGAGGGAGGGGGGGAGGCTGTGAGAGGCAACCAGGCAGGCAAGGGGGGTCAGTTGGGGGCTACCAGGCCAGCAGGAGGGGAAGTTGGGGGTGACCAGGCTGGCAGGGGGGGCCAGTTAGGGGTGACCAGGCTGGCATGCAGAGGCAGTGAGGGGCAATCAGGCTGGTGGGGGGGGCAGTTAGAGGTGGCCAAGCAGACCAGGCAGGTGAGGCGATTTAGGAGCCCGTTGGTCCCAGGATTTTGAAGAGGGGATTTCCCCGCCTCCTGTTTTAAGCCCGATCCCTAGGATCGGGCCTAAACCATCAGTTGAACATCCCCCAAAGGGTCCTGGATTTGAGAGGGTGCAGGCTGGGCTGAGGGGAACGCCCTCCGTGCATGAATTTTATGCACCGGGCCTCTAGTTCTTAAATAATCTGTCTTAGCTTTAGGTAAATAAATGCATCCCTTTTTCTTTCTCTCCCTACCCACAAATAAAAAGACAACATCCTTATTATGCTTGCAGCATGGTCTTAGCTTGACACTTTCGGAATATATAGCTGAGTCTATTTTCTGGGAAAACAACTAAACCAAAATAATTTTTGGCAGCCCTACAATGGCTATTACTAAATAGTTCTAGGGAACTCCCTTAGAAAGTTAAGGATTTATGTTCTAGTTAATTTATCCAGAATGTAGTCATATTCCAAATTAAGTCTTATAAGGTCCATCTCTGGAAAAAGCTCAGTTGAGCATCTATTATCCTAATTCTTGCTCTTAATTCTTACAGGTCAAAGTCATACTTCCCATATCTGTAGCATTCTAATAGAGTAACAGTTGCTTTTTGAGAAAAGTTCCAGTCCTGACAAAATTAGACTTGAGTTAAGGATTTGACAAATATGTGCCATGTGTACATTCTGCCTCTCTTCCTGGGTCCATGCAGAAACCCACAACCAGGCAGAGAGCTCTTTCCTCCTAAGCACAATCCCAATCCCAGCTTTAGGCTCACTCTCAGCAAGAGCTTCAGGAAGGGAAAGGAAAGCGTATGTAAGAACTCACCTACCACGATTGTCCTAGAATGTAAGCTTTCTGAGGACACAGGCTGAGACATTTTCATATTCCTCCCCTCCAACCCCCCAGTAAAAGTCTACGGGGTGCTGTGTAAAATAAGAATAATAGTCAGTTTCTTTAATGTTTTTTTTTTAAAGTGTTAGCATTAGCATTTTCATTTTGACTTTGAAAGGAGAAAAAGCCAGTAAAGACATTCTAATGTAAAAAAATCCACATTTTTGTAGGATTCCCTGTCTGAAGAAAAATTGGAACTCTTACACATTATCTCAAAAGGGTGGAGATGTGTCGCTCTGTTATAAGCAATATATTGTTAATCCATGAAATCAAATGGAAAAAAACCCTCTTTCATTTTTAATTTCTTCAGTCAGTTTCATTTTTCTTAAAACAGCTTATAACAGTAAGTTGCAGTTTGAATCACCCAAGCGTCCAAAAAAAAAGTAAAATAAAAAAACCCACAAACCCAAACAAAATAAAATAAACATGTTTTAGACTCATAATTCCCCCCCTCACAGTTTCAACTTAAAGTTGTCCCTCTTAAAGCACCCCGATTTCTTCATGGGGCCTGTTAAATGAGTCTCCTGTGGATGCCCACACCTGGCTGCAATCCTAAGTGGTACATGGACTAGTCTCATGTCAGTGCATTTTTAATTGTTAGAGCAAATAGTATCCATTTTAATGACACCTTAATCATTTATTACAGTCAGTTTTTCTTCAGAGCACACAGTCTTGGAAATAACCCACTAAGAAGTACTGTGGACTGTCGGGCTTTGGCAGGCTGGGACAGAACTTCTGAGAACATGCTGTGTGGATTTTCCAAAGAAGGCAGTCAATGTGAGCGGTCCCATCAGGGAGCAGTTCATTTGGGACCTGGCTGTGGCTTTTCCCTTAGATTTGAGGAGCTCACCATCACATGGAGATGCCTACTGGTGTATAGCATAACTTGGGTATTGCTCTCAATGACTGCTTCAGTTTGTAAAGAGCTGGCCCCTTCAACTGCACAGGAGGGGCCTCGTGTAGAAGCAGGGTGGCTACAGCTCTCTGCCAATAAGTGCTTAATGACTCATTTTCCTCAACAGAATTTTCATGAGACTGGAATTCAGGGAGGGCTGTCTAGAGAATGTCTGGGAGGAAGTTCACAAGCCACCGTCGTGCTGTCTGCCGGAGAAAGCCTCCCATGATAGCCACACCAGTGGACCAAAGCAAACAGCAACTGATTTCAGTAACGTTTCCTCCTGATCTTCCATAAACAGTCCCTGAAAGGTCGCCCTGAAGTTTGTTTTAGTCAGGTTGAGAACATTATAAACTTCCAAAGAAGAAAACTATTAGTGGAAAAACTAAAGACACAGAAGGCTAATAACTAACCGTGTGTGTGGAACCACAGACTCTATCCATGCGAATGGCATTGAACCAGCCAGAGTACTTCAAGACACTGTTGTACCCTATGTATGCTTCCAATTCACTCACCCATTTGACTGATCTGTCATATTGAGCAATTGCTTTGCAATTAGGTGGATTTAGACAAAATGAAATTGTACATACTGTTCCCTTCTCTTTTCAAATGTTTTTGTGTTTATTTTAAAGGCTTTATAATTGCTAAATGTTCTCCTCTCTCAGAAGACATTCTGAAATGGAAGCAAAAATATCACTTTTGCAAAGCCATTTCCATTCTCCCAAAGGTCTGCTGGTAAATTATTCTTCCTGATCTTTCCATCTTTCTGGCCTATGCATACACACCTAACCCATACTAAATTTCACCAGATGGCATTTTATTTCTTTAAAGGAAAGCAGTCGTGGGTTTAGACAGTTGAATTTTTAAACTTCTGTATTTACTGGAAGTGCATATGGTACTATATGGACAAAGAACTTGTACTGAAAGGAAAACATTTCTGTCTGCAGTACCTCACAGTGTCTTAGAGGAAGAAAAGTACAGTCACATGGCGTATTTCTCACAGAATCTTTTGTGGCTGTAATTTTCTTTCTCTCCTTGAAATTAGAACATGTATACTGTACATACCTGAAAGTTGGTGTTATTTTAATTCTTCTTTTAGTTGCAAATAGAAAGGTTATATGAAACTCAATAAATTGCCAAAGTAATTGGTGAGAGATTTCTAGAGGAAAATGAAACATAAAACTAAACTTGTGGGGGAAAAAAGGTTTAAAAACCTCTGTATGTCAACGTAAGCAGATGTTGGTGTAGAATTTACAAGGATGAGAAGGCTGTAAAACCTCCCTTAAGCCATTCACAGTTCATTTCAAGGCCAAGAACGCCCCCAAAATCTGTTTCTAATTTTACAGAAATCTTTTGAAATTTGGCACGGTTTTGAAAAGTCCATGGAAAGAAAAAAACCTTGTCCTAGCTTCCTCTTCCAACTCCAAAGACAGACTTGCTTCCTTTCAACGGTTTTCACAGATGCAGTGACCCACGCTCCGAAGTCAGAATTAGCTGACTTTCACAAACATCTGGAAAAATGAAGGTTAGTATACGCAAACTCAGGTGTTGCTAAAGAATGAGGGCTGGCAGAATTGAGTGCGAACAATGTTTTATATTGTTTAGAAGGTGAGGATTTGTCCATAAGTATGTACTTCCTGGAGTGGGTTGAGATTGGAAGATTATTCTAAATATACTGTAGAAACATTTGTCTGTGTGGAGCTGGAAAAATTCCAGCAATTAGAGCCAGACCAGTGGAAAACTATCAAAAGTTTGTGTTAAGGAGAACTAAGATTTAACGGCAAACAAAATTTTGTGTTTTCTACTACTTAGCAGAAACTGTATGTATATCTAATTCATTTTTATTTTATGTAGACATGGTTAAAAATCTTATTTGGAATTGCCACCTCTGCTGTGCTTGCTTTATTGGTGATGTGCATTGCCTTACGTCCTTTGAGAGGTAAGAATTTTTCTCTGATTTTCTCTGTCAGCCTTGGAAAATGCACTAACACATGGTCATGAGTGATTGAACATTTCCAAAGTGCTTATTTTCCAAAGTAAGTCTGTTATTTCCATGAAGACTTATAAGCTCACCGATATGTCCTTGTGCAACCAGAAATCATGAGGAATTTAAGGCAGGAGTAGAAAGAGATTTCCAGTATTATTTCAGCAATAGAAAAACCTAAGCACTTTCTGTATCATTCCCACACCTCCCCAAATATAAACTAAATTACAAGCTTTAACAGACCTTTAGAGGCGATATTTTTGACTAACGTTGCTTGAAAGGATTGCCTCATGGAAAGTAAAACTGAGTATGAATTGAAAAGTTAAAACAGAAACTATGGCTTTGTGTTTGTTTGTTTTATTATGAGTCTTTTCAAAAATTTAGGAAGGCGGTCTAGAATAGAGATCTTGAGTATAGCTGTATAGAAAAACTAAAATTGTTGTTCTAGATGCAGTAGCAATGAAAATTAAATTAGAAAATGAAAAACTATTAAACAAGCATTATGTCTAGTGATAAATGAATTCTTTTAAAAAGGGTTTAGATTAACATCAACCTCCCTTTGCTGAAAGTTGGAAGATACTATGGACTGATAGGGGGTAGTTTAAATTTAAATTAAGACTCTGTCTGTACATTATCCAGCAATATTAAAGGTATGTTTCTGTAAAAGTTATGAAGAGAAGCTCAAATTCTGAACCAGGAGAAAAACACAACAATAACAGGTCTTGTGCTTTGAGGGGAAAAGTATGTAGCAACAATTATTAAAAGCTTATAATAGCTAAGGTGGGGAATACCTTTGTTTAAAAGTTAACTGTCAGTAAAGGAAAATAAATGACAAATCTTTAGCTAAAGAATGTAGGAGTCCTAAATGATCCATTGCTTTAAAAATTTGAATATAGAAAATACTTTGAAAAATTCAAAATGCTCATGGGATTTTCACAGAATTACAAAATGAAGAGGTTAGTCAATATGATGAAGGCATTGTGCTTGTATCTTCAGTGTTAATCTTCAGTCCATTTCCTGCTCTCTGCCAGCACACAATTATTCTTAGGCTGTTGAGAAGTATTGTGTGCATCCATACTTTTTATATTTTTTCAAGTTAAAATTGTTTCCAGATCAGTGTTTTACCTCAGTGGCTTGGGAGCTATATTTCCTTCATGCCAGCAATTGTCAGGTGACATATTAGGTCCCATTGACCCGTTGAATGCCAATGTGTTCAGAATTAGCTCCTGATTTTAAAAGAAACCCCCAGTACTTGAAATCAACATGTTGCTTCCTCAGAAATGAATATTCTGAGGACGAAAGTGTATGGACTAACTTGTGAGCCTGCTTCCATGTCCACAGGCAAGGATGGCTTGCCTTAGCACTTTGGAATTTGAGCTATAATTTCTAATAGGAAATATACTATAGTTACATATTTATAAGTAATATATAAGTATACACCCACATAGATATTTGTGTAATCCTACATAATAAAACCCTAATATGCAAATCAACTGAATGGCCGAATGACCAGTTGCTATGATGTGCATTGACCACCTTGGGGCAGATGCTCAACACAGGAGCTGCCCCTGACCTGGAAGGAGGTGACCTGCAGCAGTGATCTGGGGGTGATGCCAGGCTGCCAGTCAAGGTGGGTGGGTTGCCCCGCCCACCGGTAACCCCACAGATGGCCCTGATCGCCGGCCAGGCCTAGGAAACCTACCCTATATATTGGGAACAGTCTTTTAGATTTAAAAATTAAAACCTGGCAAGGCTACTCTTAACACTGAAAAAACAGGATGATGCAGTAATGACATGCATGGACTATGGCTTGCACATTTTGTGGTCAGCCCTGATTCTGACACTTATAACTGTGTGACAGCCAATTACTTAACTTCTCTCTTTCAGTTTTTCCACCCATAAGATGGGTAGAATGGTACTACTGCCTCAGAAGGCTCATGTTATGTAGTACTTTTTATAATCAGAGCATCTAGCTGCCCATACAACAGCAAGATGCCTTTCACCTATATGAAAATTATGGTCACTGGTGCATGCAGCATCCCAGATTGTGAGAGGGATGTCCTACTGCTGGTTTAGGCCTGACATCCCCCAAGGGTTCCCGGATTGCAAGAGGATTCAGGCCGGGTTGAGGAACCTCACCCCACCCCTCACCCCACCCTTCATGGATGAATTTCGTGCACCAGGCTTCTAGTTATTTATAACCCCAATCCTTACCTTCTCTCCAAGTTTAGACATGTATAACATGTACATAAATGTATGTTCTAAAGTACAAATATTATAAAAATCTATGTCATTTAAAACCTAGTTTTCTGTTTCAACCAATGGGATAATTCTCAGAGCAAATTAATTTCCTTGTAGAGTGAAGTAATAAAATTAAACTTTAGGAGGAATTTTATTACTCATCCAGAAACAGAAAATTTATTAAACAGTTGAGAATTACACTTTTTGTCCATAATCCCATTCTCTTTCTATTCTAAATTGGCTGAAAAACTGCTCAGAATGTCACTTAAATGACTTGTACTGGAACCACTCACTCCCCTACTTTGCAGACTAGGCCAGGGGAAGCCCCCCTCCCTCCAGGCAGTGGTATAGACAGCCCTGATTTGAAGTGGATCCTCTGACCTCCCTTCTTCTTCCCACACCCCACTCCTCAATCATCCTTAGTCTAGAGCAGTGATGGCGAACCTTTTGAGCTCGGCATGTCAGCATTTTGAAAAACCCTAACTTAACTCTGGTGCCGTGTCACATATAGAAATTTTTTTGATATTTGCAACCATGGTAAGACAAAGATTTATATTTTTGATATTTATTTTATATATTTAAATGCCATTTAACAAAGAAAATCAACGAAAAAAAATGAGTTCGCGTGTCAACTCTGACACGCGTGTCATAGGTTCTTCATCACTGGTCTAGAGCTTCCAGTCCAGTTCTCACTCTCACAACTGCCCAGTGCCTGGTGAGATAGGATCTAAGGTGGCAAAGCAGGAGAAGGGAAAGAGGAGGGAGGAGAAGGAACAGAGAATTCGAAGGGAAGGAAGCTCCTAGTTGGCCTTTTCAAGCTTTCTCAGAAACTCCATTACCTCACATTTACCTTAGATGCCCTTGTATTCTTAGCCCAGTATTATGTGCTAACAACATAAGAACAGTCTTTTTTGGAGAAAGTTAAAAACCCACTTCAGAAACATTCATTTATTTATTTATATATTGAGGAATTAAGTCCCACTGACTACTTGCCTATCGTTGTGCCAAGTGTCGGGGAAACAGAGATTCAGCAGTCTAGATTTCCCTCTGAAAGTCAGGGTAAGAATCCAGAGTGGATGCATGGCCTTCACCACCAACAGGAGATCAGGGTTTCTGTTGTTCCCCACCAGGTCTAGGTCAAAGAAGAAATGACAGGGGCTCTTCTGTGGAGAGAGAGGCTCAGGGAGCACCAACCTCAGGATGCAAAGAGCTGTGGGGAATTTAGGCAGAATTGTATGAACAAATAGAAAAATGTGGTGGTGAAATGAGAAAAATCCATTTAGATCACTCACATAGTAATAAAAATAAGGGACAACTTTTTTTTTGAAACTTTCAAAATTTCCCATTTTTATTTTCACCCAAATGGAAAAACACATATGGGTTTCTCCTTCTTAGTCCCAGGCTGTCCTCCCTTGGCCCCAGCCGTGGGGCAAACTACGGGCCCGCGGGCCGGATCCGCCCGTTTGAAATGAATAAAAGTAAAAAAAAAAAAAGACCATACCCTTTTATGTAATGATGTTTACTTTGAATTTATATTAGTTCACACAAACACTCCATCCATGCTTTTGTTCCTGCCCTCCGGTCCAGTTTAAGAACCCATTGTGGCCCTCGAGTCAAAAAGTTTGTCCACCCCTGTCTTGGCCTCAACCTATTCCCATTAAACTGATTCCTGTTCTATTCTCCTGCCTCGATTTACTTTCTCTCGCCTTCCCAAGCACCACCCTTCTTCCTGTGTGAAGATACAACCAGGCTGAGAATGGAAACTGAGCTCCACACCTTCCCCTCAATTTTGTCAACCCCCAAAAGAAACACACAGGCCTTGTTTCAAGAGATTTACAGAGGTGACAATAACAAAAGCCAAAGAAACAGAAAACAAAAATTGGAACGTGACAGAGGCTCCAGAATTTCCAAAGTAAATTCTATATGGTCTTGCTTCATGATTTGCAGTTTCTGAATTCCTGGACCTACCTTTGTGAAATTCATTTGTGAAATGAAATGTAGGAGTCATCTACTCTCTCCTTGAATGCTATTGAGTGTTGAGTTTCTCATATGGTGATGAGCAAACACTCAATAAATGCCAGCTATTATTTTTCTATAATTTCTAACATGCAGTAGCTACTTAATAAGTGGCAGCTAGAATTTCACTGTATTCTTCATCCTCATATACATATGCACACAAAGATGATGACTAGGCCCCTCTGTGCGATATATTTCAATTTCAACAATGTTCTTAATTCTGAGAGTGTGTGTGTGAGGGGGTGTCTTTGTCCTTGGGTATCATCCCTGTTCCGATTGCCCATCTCCTTGGATCAAAAACAACATATATTTTTTAGAAACTTTTGTGTACAAGGATCTCATAGGAGACATCACAAGTTCTGAGGCAAAAGAAGAGAAAAGATAAAGGGAGTTGGGGGAGGGGCGAAATGGAGAATGAAGTTGAGGGAAAGTAACAAAGGAGGGGGGTGCCTCTCAGATCTCCCTGCAATCCTCATGTCTGCCTTTAAAACTTTTCCTTTTACTGTTGTTGTTTTGGGCCTGCTGTGTTTTTAGAAAACTTTGTAATAGTCACCAATTTTAAAAAATCAGAGGATTTCATATAAAAATTTATATTTTTGGCTTCTCTTTAAATATTAAGCCTGGCAGCATTGGGCCCATGGTAATAGTTAGCTAAGAAGCAGGTGCCTTCAGATGGGCAATGCTTTCTCCAGTTTCCC